ACTCAAAACTACTTAATTCTGCCAAATTCCGAGGGCTTGGGCCTTATTTTTTGTACAATATTTAGAAGCCACATCTAACCAATCACAATTCATTGTGAAGCGGTGTTTATGAATTTTAGCTCTTTTGAGGGGGTAACCTATTGATTTAGGGCATTTAATTGCTGAAAATATAAAATACATGGCTAATATTGCACAAAGAGCTTGTTGGAATTTTTGTGTTATAAATGAATTGTGCAAGAGAGCAGGTGTGTCTGTGTACCCTGATGATGAGATGATCATTTCGAAGGCACCTCTCAACACTTCGGCTATAAGAAGGTTGCAACATATGCATCAAGCGAAAGCTGCTCCAAATGATCAAGAGGACAATCAAGTTGGAAATGATGAAGGATTCTACCAACCACAAATGCAGAACCAACCATAGAAAATTCAAGGTCAATAGACTTCAAAGTTTCAAAGAAGAATGGAAGCTCACGTAGTGGGGGTTACAAGGTGGATTACAGAAGTTTCACCCACTTTATATGTTGAACCTTTGAGATTCACTCATGTGTTTTGAGACTTCTATAACCAACAAGAAGACCATACGTTGGCTCAGAGCTTAAGATCCCGATTTGCAATAATTAAAGAAATGGAGAGTTACTTCACCAACCAAGATCAAGAGCAAGCAAATAGGAAATACCATATGCGAGCAGAATGGACTAGGCAGAATAATAACTTCAACAACATAATGAATGACATGTATGATCTTTTTGCAATGACAACATATGAAAAGATATGTAGTTTTTTTTATTTCTTAGAAGAATTTTTTTTTGTATTTTCAAATGTATACCGAGAAAAGAGTAATAACTACTATAAGCACTCTTCGCCTATTGTATTATTGTCTTTATTTAACAAGTTTGTAGCTGTTGTTTCTTTTAGATTTTCAAGTTTACCACTTTAGCAGTGAATAAATGACCCAAAAGGAACTTGATCATCAGGAGAGCAACTTACAACTTGAAGGCAAATGATGAGAAAATAAACAAAGAACTTGTACTCAACTTTTAGATACCCTAACTAGTAAGATTTTAGCCCAATAAATTCCATTGTTCATTATTCTTTCTAATTGAGTGTATCCATGCATTATTGTGTTATCAGGTTTGATCTATTTTTAATTAAATTTGTGTCGTTTGCTTGACACACACTGAGGCAGTTGTTGTTTATAACTTTGAGCCTTTTTAACCACCCTGTAGTAAATAGGTATATCCATTGTTAACCACTTTGAGCTTAGTCTTTCTTTCAGTGTCTTAGCCTTAATTTTTAGCCGTATAAATTGAAAGAGCTCATCTTTCCACCATCTCTTTGGAGTTATGGAGAATTGTAGTTCTTAAGTGATATGAAAAAGATTAATTGGGGTTTCTCTTGGAAGTGATCAAAGTTTTAAGTTTGGGGTTGGTGTACTAGAGAAAAATAGTCCAAAATTCAAAAAATTTGTAAAAAAAAAAGAAGAAGTGGAAACAGAAACTTCTTTAAAAAAAAGGGATTAAAAGAATACAAAGTGAATAAGAAGGATAACAATATAAAAATATCTAGTACCATTAAGAAGACACAAAAAGGTATGATAATAAAAGGAGAACTAGGAACCTAACTCCAAAGGTTTAAACCTACTTCCCCAAAAATATCCTACCCGAACATAAACCAAGATACAAACAAAAGAGACCTCAAATGTGTGCGTTTTAATTTTTTTGATGAATTATATTAGAACATGATTAAGCTAAGCATAAATTATTTTGCATGTTAATTGAGAGTACCTTATCCATTGAGTGACTAAAGGTGAGTTGAGAGACAAGTTGAGTACTCATTTGACAACTTATATGGTGATGCTCAATTGTTATTGTGCAGCTTATTTTTTGTTGAAATATGCAGTTGCAGGCAAGTTACTTGAGGACAATCAACGATTCAAGTTTGGAGTTGTGATGACATTCTGTCATTGCAAGAATTCGGTCGAAGAAATGAATTATAACATGTTAAAGAGGAGCAAAAATGAAGAATAAAGACCAAAGAATGAGGAAAAAATAGCTAAGTGTGAAGAAATAGGGACTTAGTGAAAATCTGGTGAAAAAGGGAGCAAAAGCGTGCAACTACTGGAATAATCACGTGCAGCATCGTGCGCGCGATGGGTAAGACACAACTGCATCGAGCGTGCAATGTAAATCGTCACACGCGTGATGACCCCTTTTTCTGGGCTTTTCTGACGTGTTCTAATCCATTCTAGAGGCTTTTTAAGAGAACATTTTGCACTTTTTCAAGGGTTACGAATTTTAACACAACAAGTACGAGTTTTATAGCACCAGAAGTGATTTTTGAGAGCATTTGAAGCCATTTGAGGCCAATCCTTCAAGGGGTCTCTTATGAAAACATTCTTCATTAATTTTGGTATTGTAATTTGAATTATGAGTAGTTATCTCTAGGCTAGGTTGTGTTTGATGAACTTGTTTTGATATTGTTGGAACATATGTTTGATATTGCGTGAGTATTTTGACATCTAATTCTATTCAATTGCACCTTGTTCTTAATGCTTTTTTATGAGAGATACTCTTTTAATATGATTTTGGGCACATAAGGAATATTGACCATTAGTCTATATGTTGGACCTAAGGAAATTGTTGTGCTTATACTGGTTAAGTAGGGATAGGAGACACCGAGTAGTGGCTAGTGAATTAACGCTCTGTTGCATTGCCTAATCCTGCTTATGCTGGTGGACTAGGGATAGAAAACTCTGAAAAGTGATTAGTGAGCTATATCGCAAGGGATTGGTTATGACGATTTTGTTAATTCGTTGTGGGATTATAGTGACATTTTCATTAATGTAATGCATCGAACAACAACACTAATGAAATAGGGGATTCTATACACGACCTAACTTTTTTAGTATTATTTTCTAAACACTTCTTTTATTTTCAAACTTCAAACTCAACCCCGCTCCATTTACTATTTTCTACGCATTGCACAATTTTGTCTTTGTTAAATAGCAATCCATTTGGATTCGACCTTTATTATTACTGTGACATTATCGGTACACTTACTGAGAAGTCATCAAGAATCCTCAAAGTAATCTTCTTCTACTTCGATCCTATATAGGTATTGCCAAATGTTTTTGGCCTAAGAATGTATCAAACTAATTATATGGAGGAAACAACAATTTGCTTTGATAAAGAGTTATGAAGGGCAGTTGAATACATTGTGGTTGGCGAATGTCATTTCTTTAGGGGCCTTCAATGGAGGGTGATTTCTTTGCCATTAGAGTTGGGGATTGAGTTTGTACTTGACAATATAGGCTGTCTCATATGCTTTTGTGGCTTCTAGGGCCCAAACTTAGTTGTTACATGATCATATATTGAGAGACAATGATGTATATGGTATGAACTATGATTTTGACTGAGCTTTGGATGATCTTAGTGATGCGATCACAAATTTTGACCTTAGCAATTTTACTAACAAAAACACCACCCCTTCTAAAGCATAACATATTTTGGCGAATGTCCTTTTTGGTAAAAGTATTCAGGACATGAAAGTAAAGTTTGACATGGCCACAAGACAGAAAGTAGTTTTTAGTTGTTTGCAGGTCCTACATGCTCATGACTTTCTCTTAGTTATTTTTATTGATGGACTAGGTCAACATATGTCATTGGTGGAATACTGTACTATCTTGAGATATCGCTTTATGATTCCCTTATTTTCTATTGATGAGGTTTGCCTTGTTTCTCACAAGGTGTATTTAGATACATTTGAGAAACACACGATTCATTGTAGGAAGCTTCAAGGTTTCAAATACTGACATGATCTTGTTAGAGATGTCCTATTTAATATATTTTAGTGGGTCGGAGTATCTATGCAGAAAGAGACGCTTGTAAATTTCCCGACTGATCTTACATGAGAAGAAATCAACACTTAGGTCAACAAATGTTATGGTGTATGATTGAGTGAGAGGAAAACATGCATGTGTGAACTTGTCGAGGTTTCTCCACTAGTGGGATTGAGGACTATAGATTTTATTGTGAGACATATATCTCTCAAAGTCACATCAAGTAAAGTAGTCAAATATGAGAAAATGTGTTTCGACAAACAACATACATTCATACCATTTGCCTTTGACACCTTTAGTTTTCTAACACCAGAAAAAATTAATCTTTTACATAAAAACAAAAAATTATATCTTTTAAGTCAATAAATATAATTTTTAAGAAAATCAATTTTACAATCTAAAAAGAGATTCATCAACTTATTATTAATTTGTCTTTTATTTTTATATAAATTTTATTATATGTGATGAATATATATGATTAAAGCTAAGTTAATTTTTAATCATTAGTAGTCTAATGATTAAAATTTCAAATAAGATGTTGCACGTTTTGAATTTCTTTATTGCACGGTTATCAATTTTATAAAGAGAAAATTTAAGCTAGATAATCACTAGCTAGAGAACTAACAGCACATCAAACATGTTCAATTATCCTTAATTATCTTCGCACAAATTTCCCATACCACTATTTTTCCTCTTTAGTTTCACTATACTTTCTTATCATTGATCGTGTCAAATAAACTATTGAACTATACCACTATTTTTGTTTATTTACTTAATGTCGACCGTGTAGCATTAAAAATAGTTACAAAAACTATGATTCGTCCTGATAATAACATTTTTTATATTTTAAAAAATATCCCTCACTTCAATTTCATGTCAGCTCAGCAGATCCACTACGAAACATAAATTAATAATTTTTAACTTTTATTATTATATTATGAATATGAATAAATATAACACCAATGCTGTTTTCCACTTTCATTCTCTTCCTATATAAACCATTCCCATTCTTAATTCTTCAATCTGTTACGTAACTGAATTTCGAATATCACATTTCCGTGCAAACCGTTGTAACAAACTTCTAAATTAAACTTAACTCTCTTCAACACTTTCTCACTCTAAAACCGTTACACACACACACTCTCTCTCTACAGCTTCAACAATGGCTATGGCGTTTCCTTCTTCAAGAAACGAAACGTCGTCGTATACACATTCTTATTCATCTGCGTTCGCTTCCTCATCGGTAGCGAATTTCACTCCTCGAGCGTCACCTGTAATGATGCAACCCTCTTCCTCCGTTAAAGTTAAACTACACGGTCACCGTACTACGCCGTTGTCTCCTCCGTCTTCGACCGTGAGATTCTCTGTGGAACAACGGCCGGAATCTTCCGAGCACCGATCGATGACTGCGACGAAGGATTCAAGAAACAACAACGGTGTGTCTTCATCTAGCGAGAAAACCAGAAGGTGCATGTGTTCTCCGACGACACACGCCGGTTCGTTCCGGTGCGCGTATCACAAACGGATGGCGGAGCAAGAGCAACAACGGCAACAAAAACAGGAACAGAAGGTGCAGCAACAACAGCAAGTAAAGAAGGAGCAACAACAACAACAACGGCAACAGCAAACGGCGTGGTCAAGAAGCAGAACACTGAATCTTCGTAGATCGGCGATGAAGAACTCACTGGTGCGAATCGGAGTTGAAGGTGAAATAGTGAAAAGGACTTTGACGAATCCGATTAGACCTTCGGCGCATCAGCTTCGGCGCCGGGAAGCTTTTCAGCCGAAGCCGAGCCGGCTCTCTAATATGTCCAAAGCTTAGAACTCATTCTCTTTTTTTTTTTGGTTCCCTCGGCTCGTTCTTTAATTTTCTTGTTTGTGTATGAATGAACGTGGGAAACACGCGCTTGCTAGCTCTCAAGTATCAACTCTGGAGAATGATTTTATAATTCCTTGTGTTGTGTTAAGAGGGAAACCGTTTTTTTCTTTTCTTTTTTTTGTTTTGATAGTGGAAAATACAGTAATTAGTTGTATATTTTTTTTGAATAGTTATTATATACAGTAACTTCTTTCTTTCTCTAATGTAAAATCGAAATCAAATCTTGTTCTATATACCATGGACTGTGAAACTGTGTGCGAAGAAGTTTGAAAGAAGGAAGTGTTGTATATACTTGGATTTGATTTTTGTGAAATAAAAAATCTAGAATTAGATTTATCATATTGAAAAGGGACAACCTTGGTTGAAGATTATTTTAATATAATCAAGTTTGCTTAATATGGATTTAAAAGATTAAAGCTATATTTATAGTAATGAAATAAGATGAGATGAAATGAAAACCAACAAATTTTTATTTTAATAATTAAGTTGATAAAAAATATTAATAGAATGAAACGGGACAAGTTTATATTTTAGTATTTAGATTGATAAAAAAAATATAGAATGGCCGAAACCTAATAAAATACATTTCATTATATTTTATTACTATTTTTATTTTTGTATTTTTAATTTTGTCCCTTTTCACTTAATTGAATTTGAAAGTTATAAAGTATTCAAACATAATTTAGAGATAGAACTTTATAATTTTCAATAGAATAATAAAACCTAGATAATAACATAATATTTTATTACAAATTAACAGAATAAATAAATACAATATTCTTCTTTATTTTAAAAGTAATAAAATATATTTTTAGACTAGGTTATATTAAACCCTCATAATTAATAATTATTTTGTAAGTGTTTGGGTTCATTTTGTTAAAGTTAAAGTATTAACAATTGTGAGTAGTGTGGATAATAGTCCCACATTGGATAGAAATGTGGTGACTTGAGCATTTATAAATGAGAGAACCCACACACCTATCACCTTAAGGTTTTGGGTGAGTATGTGGTGTGTCTCTCACAAAGGTTGCTCTAAAAAAGTCCCACTATGTTCAATGCTCCCTAGTTGAAAGTCCAACAGTGGTATCTTGAGCCTTTGGTTCGAATAAAGGGCCTGGGTTATCGAAAGTATCCCCACGGTGGTGTGTCTCTCTCTAAAAAAGTATCCACACACTCTCTAAAAAAGTAATGTGGTGACTTAGTTGAAAGTCCAACAGTGGTTTGGTTCGAATAAAGGGCCTGGGTTATCGAAAGTATCCCCACGGTGGTGTGTCTCTCTCTAAAAAAGTATCCACACACTCTCTAAAAAAGTAATGTGGTGACTTAGTTGAAAGTCCAACAGTGGTATCTTGAGCCTTTGGTTCGAATAAAGGGCCTGGGTTATCGAAAGTATCCCCACGGTGGTGTGTCTCTCTCTAAAAAAGTATCCACACACTCTCTAAAAAAGTAATGTGGTGACTTGAGCATTTATAAATGAGAGAACCCTAAAAAAGTTCCACTATGTTCAATGCTCCCTAGTTGAAAGTCCAACACATTTGATGTGCTTGTAAGTTTTATCTCTAAAAATGTTTGTAGTGTTAGGGTCATGTGGTGGTAAAGTTTTAACATAACATCAAGCGTGATGAGATTTCCACAAAAATAATGTTCTATGTGCTCTATTAAATCAAGATGGTCTAGAACAATTTAGAAGCTACTTGTTGATGTTTTGTCCACAAGTACAATTAACCTTTAATATTGGACCAAATTATAGCACCACCTCATGAATCCTTTCCTACTAAGTTTCTTAACTATTAAGTATTAAGTATCCTATAAAATCCAACAAAAAAAAGTATCCTATAAAAGGCTCGTGTGCGTAAGTTGTGAATCAATTCAAATGAAAAGGAACACTAAGTATTAATTAAAATTACTTAGTTTTATATTTATTAAGAATGATAATTTGATATATTTCATTTTACTCTATTTATAGAATAAAAATAATAAAAATTTTCCGCCAAAATCTCTAATAAATAATTAACTATTTAAATAAAATAAAAATTACTAATTTAAAAAATGGTATTTTTTATTCACATATTAACTATAAAAAAAAAGTAAATAATAGTAATATAAAAAATGATTAGTAAATATGACACACATCAATAAAAACATGGTTTAATGTTTTCTATAATTTCACAAATCACATTGCTTAATTGCAATCTTTTATAATAAATTAATTAGAAAAACGGTCAAATGTTTTCCCACACTAATCTCATTATTAACTCTATTTTACTAATTAATTAATTAATTAAAAATATATTTTATTATTATTAATTTTTTAAAAGACCACATTCAAAACATTCATTTAATTCAATTTAAAAAATATGCTATCTTTTAATACAGTAGAATTTTTTTTTTCAAAGTACAAGTAGATCAAGTACAAATAAATCAATTATTTTATAAAAAGAACTTATAAACTGTTCTGAACTAGTCCAATGGCTAGTCATGACCTAATTCACTTCTGCTTCTAAAACAATCCAAATTGCCTAAGTCCAATTTCGTAAGGGGGGATTTACCTTTCTGCCCCTCCAACAGGGGAAGCTGACCTATTTATCCTTGGTCACAACACTGCTCCTCGTCCATCTCTATCCGTCTCGGACGGTTCCACCATCCAAGAACAGGCAAGACACTTGTGCCCGTAACTCTGCCTATGTCCGTCACAACGGCTAGTTATGGGCACGTCTGCTCGTCTCAACGACTATTTTTGGCAGTTACATATTTTTCGGGAAACGGTTATCTCGCCTCGAAAATAGGGACCAACGGTCAAGCGCTGGGGGCACTATAAAAACTGATAGAAGAGAGGTATGATATAATATGATAAAGAAAAGTATTTTATTAATGAATGTGAAAGTAAAATAAATTCCAGAGCTACTACTCCTTAGTCAGAGAAACAATTCTCTCACTGCCCACCCTAATATCAAAAATAGAAAATCAATCAATGCCTAACTACTGCCCCATACACTCCTCTTTATATAGAGAATAATCTCTAAACTAACTCCTATTTATATGGAGAATAATACCTAAACTAACTCCTATTTATTGGTGGAGTTTCCTATTCTTTCTCACATATACCCTTCATTGTTTAGGTCCAATAATATCTCTATTAACTAACACATTCCCATCATCATTTGTGGGATCCGATCCATTCCTATCATCACCCCCACCTACAACATTAGCCTTGTCCTCAAGGCGCAGATCAGGGAATTGACTCTTCAGCAACAGTTCCTCTTCCCAGGTAGCATCTCCAACATCCATCCTTTCCCATTGAATCAATCATTCTCTCTTATGTTGTCCACCATCAAATTTGTCCCTCAATGACACAACCTTAGCCGGAGTAATGTCCCCTTTTTCTGACTCTAAACTGATAGGTAGTTGAGTTGTAGTAGTATAATTACCCACTGCTTTCTTCAATTGTGACACATGAAAGGTAGGATGTATTTTAGATGTTGGTGGCAACTTCAACTTATAAGCAACCTACCCTGTCTTCTTTAGGATTTGATACAGACCGAAAAATCTAGGGGTCAGTTTTTGATGGATTCTTTGCACAACCGATTGTTGTCGATGAGGACGTAATTTGAGGAAAACCCAATCACCCACCTCAAATTGCACCACCTTGCGTTTCTTGTCAGCTTGGAATTTCATGTCCTTCTGGGCTTTGAGTAAATTAGTTTTCAATTGACGCAACGCCTCATCTCTGTCCCTTAACTCATGTGCTACAACTTCCATTCTAGTTTCACCCTCTAAAAAATGCACCAACACTGGAGGCTTTCTACCATATACCACCTCGAAAGGGGTGAACCCGGTAGACATGTGAAATGTGGTATTGTACCACAGTTCTGCCCATGGAATCCAATGTGCCCACGTCTTAGGTTGATCTGCAATAAAACAACGTAGATAGGCCTCTAAACAACGATTAATTACTTCTATTTGACCATCCATTTGGGGATGGTATGCCGAGGACATTTTAAGCACCGTGCCTACTAATTTGAACAACTCTTTCCAAAAAATACTCACAAACAAGGGGTCACGATCACTAAGAATAGACTCCGGAATGCCATGTAATCTAACCACTTCCTTCACAAAAACAGCAGCTATTGAGCGAGCAGTAAATGGATGTTTAAGAGGAATGAAATGGCTGTATTTGGAGAGACGGTCCACCACAACCAATATAGCTTCAAGTCCATTACTTTTTGGCAAACAAGTGATGAAATCCATGGATATCTCACTCCACGCCATAACCGGAATGGGAAGAGGTTGTAGTAATCCATTAGGAGTCGTTGCTGCATATTTTTGTCGTTGACAAGTATCACAAGCTTTCACAAAATCTTGCACCCTCCGCATCATCCCTTGCCAATATAAAGTTCCTGCCATTCTCCTATAAGTGCGTAGGTAGCCGGAGTGACCCCCACTTGGAGAAGAATGAAAATCTTTGAGTAACTCCTCAATAAGTGGCAAGTTAGCCGGTATAACTAACTTATTTTTGTAGAATAAGATGCCACCTTTTAAAGCAAAACCAGGTTTAGCATTAGGATCCTTTTAAATAGCTTCCATAATATTTTTAAGCAAATGATCATTTGATACTTCTTGTTTTAGTTGGTTGCTCTGCTGCCAAATAGAGTAGGATTTAATCGCTTGCATTTCAGCATTCTCGTGCTGTCTAGATAAAACATCAACCACTTTATTTTCCACTCCCACTTTATACACCACCTCAAAGTCAAAACCCAATAACTTAGCCATTCATTCTTGCTGATTTGCTGTGGTAATACGTTGTTGCAACAAGTGTTTTAGGCTCTTTTGATCAGAATAAACCACAAACCTCCTGCCTAACAAATAATGTCGCCAATGTTGAATAGCTAACACTAAAGCCATCAACTCCTTATCATAGGCAGATTTGGATAACCTAGATGATT